TTTTGAATGATGAAAGGACATTCGGAGCGATGTTAAAAGGTTTGGACGCGCCAACTACAAATCGTAAACAGTGATGGCCGTTGTATTTTTCACAGCGCGGCAAATACAGCAGCACTGTACATCGATGTTGGCAAAAAAAAAACATCGATAGCATTGCCTTGCAAAAGAAAAATGTATAATTGGCTGGTATGACGGACAATGTGGCCCTTCTTCAGAGCAGAGATTGTCAGGGCAGAGAGATTGAGTGGCTTGCAGCTGGAGACTGCTTCATGCCGTGGGGCCTTGGGACAATTGGGAAAGTTTACAAACGAACAAATATGGATTAACACAGGTTTTTCTTACATATTTCAATCATGTTAATTCTTACTTTCACGGTGCATGCTTTGCATTAATTCTTTACACGCTATGCTAATCATATGTAAATTATATGCTAATCTTACGTGTAAGACTAACAGAACAAAACTGTACAAATGAAAGAATAGAAACAATTCAAATTAGATGGTATAAATGAGACTAAAAATATTTTTGTGTCCGATTGCAACCCCGAATCACACAAATGAAAATACAAAGAATAATGGTTATTTGGAATTCTATTCTACTTTGCCCAAAGAGGCAAAACTTGAGACGCTAAATCTGTCGGATTTCTGCAGCCCAGCCACCATTCACAGGCATAATTGCTCAGCGTAAAATGTGGAGATTGAAATTTCCCACACGCGATAGCTGGGCGACGTCGATGCGATTGCGTGTGTCGGTGTGTGTCGCGATAGGCCAGGAGGGTGTACATTGCCGGCCAGGGTGTGCGTCGCGGTAAAAAATTACGCAAGCGACGGGTGCTTTGTCTTCTTCCAGCGGAGAGACCTCATCGTTCGGAGTAGTGTGTGGAGGGACGTGGGGTGCATGGGCGTGGAGTGGAGTGGGAGTTGGAGGGGGGGTCGTGCGAATACATTCGTGTCTGGGCAGACCCACGAGGGTGAGGAATAGCTCCGTATCTTGTGGCAGGAAGGGTTCAACAGCTGAGGGCATATGTTGTCGTACGAGCTGATGGATGTCGTCTGTTTGAGAGTCGTATATCTTTTTTTTTTCACTCTTTTCTGATGTGTCGCACAGGCTCGCACTACGGAGGCATCGTTTATAACATTTCTGGACAGATATTTTCGTGGCCAAAATTGCTTTGTCACACTTTTTTAAGCAATCGTAAAAAATGTGGTTAAGACCGATTTGCGTTTTTGATGTGGTCAGGTGGTCCGCAGGTCTTGAGAGAGCTGAGCTGGCATCATTGAGATCCTGGGTTTGAATCCTGGTCTCAGTCGACTGCTGTTGAAACTGGGTTCTCAAGTGGTAGCGATTTGATGGTCTCAGGCTGGTCACGAATGAATGCACACACAAATGCTGTGAGTTGGCTTAATTCCAGCTCTTGAGAAATTATAAATATCGGTTTGGCTGTTATGCGACAAATATTACTCTCAAATTGGCATTCAGAAAGTAGCTTTGAATTACAGTATCTACTGCTGTGGGCCATTCTGGAACACGAATGGTTGGCCGGCTTTGTGAGAGATCTGAATGAACACTTCGTCTCATGGCACAATGTGAAGCGTAGAATTGGGATGCAATTGGGGAATATCTATGTATAGTTTTTAAGAGCTGTTTCTTTTGTATATATACTGTACAATGTCTGATACTAGATTTGATAATTCTATACTACTTATAACACATCTAAACACAGTATTTGTCTTACAGTATTTAATTGCAAATATGCACTGGTCTGCTAGGTTATACTGTTGCCTACATAGGGAATTAAACCTTTCCTTGAGCAATTGCAGCTGAATAATTGTATTTCGTCTGCTTTAAAATTCACTAAAGTGCAACATTGCTATTTTTCTGAAGAGCTGGGTTTATTCTTCATTAATTAAATTAGTCGTATGCAAGCATTCTTTTTCCTGTCTCCCTCGCATTGCTGCTATGTAAAATTAGCAATACAACTTGCGGTTTCGCCGGGTCAGGCAGCAGAGTCGTTAAGTGCCTGGCGCACAATCGAGAGTTTTGAGTTGAATGTCTAGCAAACGGTGGACTCTGTTCAATATCGTTTTCATAATTAGTTTATAAGAAGAACATCCAAAAGATGAGGGCATAACGTCATCGGCAGACGGCCGCATGATAAACTAATGCATGCCGATTCGCTGCGGAATGCCGTATTCTGCCGAGCGTGGCTTAATTGGCGTCCAAACAGTGTTCCCGTTTGAGTTCTGGTGCTTTCCGTTTATTATATTTAATGAATGGTTGCCTCGTTTGGCTGACCCCAAATTCAGGTTCTTCATGCGCTGGTCACCAACTGTGAGAACCAGGTTTAAAGGTAGTACTAAAAACCAAGTGTTACTTGAGTCTGGCTTCGAGAGGTTTTCTACTGTCTGCCGAGTGCAATAGGGGGTTAGCCTGTAATATAGTGATGTGAATAGGTTGTATGGATGTTGAGCTTCTTTTGCACCATACGCCGGCAACCGTGCTAATCGGAGGTGCTCATTGGAGTTTGACGGATCACACATAGATGGGCCCATTTTGTGCAGAAGATACCCTTTGGTAAAGGCCATGAGGGTTCCATCGGGCGGCAGCACAGGAATTAGGATTTGCACAGGTTATCTGTGCGTATATAATAGAGGTGTTTTGGGTTAGATCGCGTAAATATATAAAAGTGTCGTTAAAACCCGCCACCACCCGACAGCCAACTAGTAAGGGTTGTCACGTAACGTGTCGGATGGTGGCGGGTTTTAACGACACTTTTATACATTTAGGCGATCTAACCCCAAAAAACCCTCTTGTATGGACTTTCTCGATGCATTACATTTTTTCACCCCCGTGCAAAAACACACAACAAGCAATTGGCCAGGGTTGAGCCTTCCTGAACGCCTGGGTGTGCGTGGTCTTCGAGTTGGCAAGGAGCAGTAAGGGATTCGTCATTCTGTCTGTGCGGAGCTCTGACAGTAGCTCCGTCATATACCCACGTGGGTTTTCTCTCTCCAGATACTCCCACAAACACTCGCGAATGATAATTGGCTAAACATCTCAATGCAGAAGCCGCCGAAAACGGTCGTAAGGATCGGTGAGGCTTCCCTAGGTCTATAATAGCTACGTAGCATATCAAGTAATGACTCCACCATGGATAGACTGTGCATAAACATCCAACGATTTCGTCCCGACGTGTTATTTTAATTGCCATTAATGCAATGCATGACTTCAATTAGACTCTGTTGCATATGCTATTTTTACATGTGGGGGAACAAAAACCCAATAATAATGACAGCGAGGTCTTGACAACGCTGGCATTCGCTCTCACGCGCAATAACAACTACAGAAACATGTTTACGTAATATTAAAATACAGTAGCAGCGCAAATAAGAGCACATTTTCATTATCGACTTTCCTTTGAGAAGTGAATTGTGGTTGTGAGTTGACCGGGTAACCTCGGAGGGTCACGGTGATGAGCTGAGATCTTGGGTTCGATTCCAGGCAGTCGCCTCTTGATTAAACTTGATATCTCCAGCGTCGTGAGTTGATGGCCTCCGCAACAATCAATAATTATGTCACTCACAAAAACCATTGCATTTATCTTGGTTATTACACCTCTTGAGAATTAAAAACAATTACTGCCGTGCGACGGATGTAACTCTCTTGGCAGAGTGGGTGGTAACAGATCTGTGTGAACCAGAGGTCAAATTATTTTAGAAGTACCTCTGCAGTCACCACTTCTAATGGCCATTATGTTGCAAAAGTGGTTGAACTGCACCGTGGAAGATCCGAATGAGTAATGACTTGACGATGATGGCACAGTCGCGATAACATAGGCCGAAAAAGACAGATGAAAAAGAGAATCGTTGCTGTACAATGCCCTTTGTCTCGTAATAACTCCCCTCGTATATATCCCCGTCACAACTTCCTTCATTGTCTCGTAATAACGCGACGGTGGCGGCCACTGCGAGGGAGTGGTTTTGGTCGCGTTGGCCTAATGAGCTGGAGCTGATGCGGGCTCACCCGTCGGCTGGGGTCTGACACCTGATCCTGCATGAGGGGTATGGTGAGGGAGTGTGGTGAGGGAGTGTGGTGGGGGAGTGTGGTGGGGGGGTGTGGTGGGGGGAGTGTGAAGTGCCCATGCCTCCAAGAAAGCAGAGGGGAGGTGGCACACTGGTGGCTGAGAGGGGGCGTGGTGGGGGGGGCAGTGGAGATGTAACAGGGATTGTGTGGGGAGATGGGGCTGGAGTGAAGGGCGGGGGGGCTAAGAGCGACCCTCCCTACCCCCACTGTCGGCAGACGCCTGCGAAGAACCCTCCAATCGGCTGTGATCGCGCGTGCCCAGGCCACGCTGGGATTCAGTCTCCTGCTAGCGAGAGAGCCGGCTCCGTCTGGTGAAGCAGAGCAGCACCGCTGTCTAATGTTGCCCTAGAGAGGTGGGTATAGTCTAGACAGCCGTTACATGGGGATGGTGTTCCAGACAGATCGACGGAATAAGAGACGGAGACGAACGTACGTTCGAAAAGCCATATTAGCCGGCGATACAAATGACTTTAACCATCCAGACAGACAGCCAGCCTAATAGAGCAACAGGCAGACAACCGGTGAATTGAACAAGCAGACAATCGGCCACACAGTTGGTTAACCGTGCAGACAGGCAGCCAAGCGGTCTATCGGAGCCATTCAGCCGGGCAAGCGATGCGGCTGCGCTGGTAACCGGCTTCCAGCTTTTGTTTGGGTGCGAGGCTGTGAGCCGGCGCTTTATCCTCATTAGGCTGATGCCACGGCTGATGTGCCGGCTGCTCTGTCGGCATGCAAATCTCGACGGATGGTTGCTGACGTCACTCCCCCACCCGTCCGTCTGCCGCACGTTCCTCCAGCAGCCCGGCTCGGGGTGCTGGGGGGGCGGCCCGGGTACCGTTAGGCGCGGGCGAGCGGTAACATCCCTGTCTGCTCACCTCCCCCTCCGCCCCCCTCTCCCGTCTTGCGCCCCTTCACAGGTGAGAAGACGCTGCAGCATCGGAGCGATGTCCTAGAGACGTCCGTGCTTCTCAACCCCTCGGAGAACACGCTCGTCGGCGAGGTGAGTGCGCGCGTTTACAAAGCGATGCTGCACAAATGTGCAGAGGCAGCGGAAAGGTCATTAACTGGATAAATGGAATTGCACTGCACACCAGGGGGACCCTGTTCTCATCTTCGTGTGGTGCTTGGTGTGAATTGCATCGGCACTCCCAATTGGTTTTTCTGTGCCGGTTACTAGGAAACAAAGCTCTGTGTCTGTGTGTTTGTATAGACGTGGGAGCGACTGTACAGTGGGTTTGTGCACCGTGCTGCTGCACACTCAGTGGCCTGAGTTCGGTTCCCAACCATGGCTAACAGTGGAGAATTGTATCTGAACCAGTCCTGGGCCTCTCCTAGGTCTACTCAGCCTTAAACGATTACCTGGTGCGATGTCTTAAGCATCAGCCCTGGGGAGACGAAGTCGGCCCTGCGTGGTGCTGTCCACATCACCGCCTCTTGCACTGTCCTCCTCTAGGTGTTCACAAACAGAACTTGCCTCCACGAGTCTGTTCGAGTCTACACGGCAGTCTTTGTCTTTGTGCTGTGCAGATGTATATTTTTCACGTGCACACACATTTGGCAAGAGAATCGTGGAAAGTGTTGTCCTACCATCGACGGTGCTTTCACGGGTAATGGAAAACTCGATGCAAAAACCTGAGGATATTGCATTTTTGACGAGCTATATCGTATTTTTAATTAATTACATTGTTCTTCACTGGGTGTGGTGTCGAGATGACGTATGTCACATTCAGCTCCGGGGACAGCGGTGTGGTGCCTGTAGGAGGCAGCACCGCAACTACACAAATTATTCAGTAATGCTGCTCCTGCTATGTTGGCAGCAGTGCACAAGCACAATTAAACAAAAAAACCAAATCAATTCGTCTGTCAATAACACCGTGGCCTTAAAAGAAAAACCAAATATATGAAAGGTGACGTTTCTGGCAATAGTCCTTCTTTGTACTACAAAAGGGCCATTACCCAAAATGTCACGGCTACGTTGATGGTCTCTTTGTGGGCTGCTTTCTCACCAGACATTTTACGCGTTCTCCCCACATGCACAAAACGAAGAGCCGAATGAAGGGATTGGCTGAACATTTCGAGAAGGACCCACTGTGAACAAGAGGGCTTGAGACATTGTTTGGAAAAGAAGTGTTAAATTCTCATGAGATATTAAATTCACAGCCCTTTGTCAATCCAGTGCTGAATGAATGCCTTCCCACACCACCGGTTGTCGGGGTTGTTACTCTGCCACACTGGTTAATGTAGGTGGGTGAAGGGGTGTACCCAGGACCGGCTGAGATGCTACTCGCCGCTCACGTTAGCTGTGGCCGAGATTCGAACTCTGCACACTGATCTCATTGCGCACTGCGCAAACCTCTCGGCCTCTAATCACGATGTCATACTAATAATATATTATCAGTGCTTGTGGTGTGAAATATTAATAAGGTGACACGACGGCGACTAAAAGAACTCTGCAAGGGCAGCAGTCGCCAGGATTCGGAAGATGAGTTTCTGATGCCAGTGCACATTTCCAGGCCGCCACCGCCTGCCGCTGTCACACTTTTAAAATACGTGACGGGCAGAGACAGCGCCACGTTTAAACATTTAAAAGAATTTCCCTGCATCATTTATGTACGCACTATATAGCGGGCATCGCGTTGGAAAGGCTGCATGGTAAAAACGGGGCCAAAATGGAGTTCACTTTCCCAAAAATGGATTAGGTGGTGGTGGCTTTTTTGAAGTGGGGGAAATTAATTGGCCCCTGTGGGATGAGATGTTTTTGTTTTAAAAGCTGCAGTGGTGGAGCGTTTAAAATTATTTATGTCACCGAAAGCAAAAAAAGGCAACGCAACACCACGTGCGTGGCGGAGCAGTGGCATCGCTTTATGAGCAGCAGACAGTGAACGTAAAAATGTAGGCCACTGTGTTTGTATGCAGGGTTATGAGAACTGTGAATGCGTCCCTCGAGTCGACATTTTGATGGTGCACAAACAATATATTTTCCTACATGCCATGATCCTCTCTCTTTATTATGTACTCGCGGGAAGTACCCGGCGTTGCCCGGGTCAAAAAGACAGACACACACATCGACTTACACACACTGACAGACATGGACCCACACACACAAACACAGCGACTTACACACACATATTTACATATATGGACTCACACACACAGACATCGACTTTAGCAACGCACACATGGAGTTACACACACACATATCGACGTACACGCATACAGCGACTCGCACACAAACATACGTAGACAACCACACACATCGACCTAAACACACATATGGACTTACACACACACATGGAGACATGCACACACATCGACTTACACACACACAGACTGACACACACGTACACAGACTGACACACACAACGCTCTACACATAAAGACACATCGACTCGCACACACACATCGACTTACAAACACATAAACATCGACTTACACTCACACATGAACTCACACACACACATCGACTGACAGACACATCGACTGACAGACACATCGACTGACACGCACATTGACTCGCACACACACACACACATATGGACTTACGCACACACTTGGACATACACATCGACACACACACACAAACATCGACGCACACACAGACGCATCGACTCGCGCACGTCCACACACAAAGAGACCGTCGCTGACACACAGATGGACTCGCACAGACACAAGGACATAGGCACACACATTAAAAAAGCAAGTAAATTGTGAAAAATGAGTTGTCTGCACACAAACATAATTATTCATATAAATGCAAGGTAATTATGAAAAAAATAGGTTTGAATGTACGTAAGTTTAGCGAAAGAAGAAAATGAAATAATATTTTTGTGCACACAAACAATATTACGTTCATATTTCCAAGGTTATGTAAATGATAGGTTTTTATGTATGTGAGTTTCGCAAAAGAAGCAATAAAATGAAATAATATTTTTCTGCACGCAAAAAAAAAGAAATGTATTATTTACAAGGTGATTAATTTAAATAATAGGTTTCTATCTACGTGAGGTTAGCGAAAGAAGCAATTAAAAAGTTGTCTGCACACAAACAAAATTATTATTATATTTCCAAACCAATTGCTTTAATATCATTTTTCTATGTACGTGAGGTTAGCGAAAGATGCAATAAAATTGCACTTAACATTACCGTGGTGAGGCCTAGTCCCGTGCAGAATCCGCAGCCTCGCCTAGATTGTGCAGCCGGCCGAGGTGGCTCCCTGGCAGGCTGTGGGCTGGGCCACTCCCCCCGCCCGCGCTACAATAATGACTATCGAATCGCTATATAATATTAATGTAGGGGCTCTATAGCAGTAATTGCACGCATTGGGGTGGGGGGGGGGTACACGACATTTAGAAGAATTAACGTCAGCGTTTTGTGTGAAAATGTCCCCCTCACCCCGACCGACTTGGTAAAAGCCGTCCCCCCCACCGAATGTGTGACTTGGTACGGTAGATCGCCCGCCATTGAATAAATAAACAAGCACAAACTGCACAAAATCGCTAATTGACGTAATTTTAAGTTGACAGATGGGAAAAAGGAATAGCGCTTGCTCACGGCGGGGCTTACGGCGTGGTACCGGCTATTTTTTTTATGTAAACCCCACCGTTGGAGAGCCAAGCGCGCGACCACACACAAACCCACAAACGCACACACAATTTTTGACTTTTTTATATATATAGAAGATAGAAGAAGATAGATGAGCTTTACATTTGTTATGTATATTGCATGCCTCTCTCTGGGGCTTTGAACTGTTCACAAAGAACTTACCTCCTTGGTGCGTGTCGATTCACCGGTTAAAAATCGACCCTTCTATTCATGATACATGCATCAATTTGTGCATGTAAGAATCACTTATTTGTCACCACATTCTTCACATGTAACCAGTTCACGTGACCCCTGCAGACGAGAGGTGCTGCATTACAATATAAATGTTTACAATGAAATATGTTTTTGAATAAAATTACAACCTGGAACCATGATGGGGACAGAATTGATACAGGCCCAATGCATACTGTATTTGTGAGGTTATTGTAACACATGTAATGTGGAAGACTTGTAAACGAAACCCCCTGTTGTGAATTAGATGACCTCATTATTTCCTGCTACTGCCAGTCGATGAGTCATTGGGGTAGAGTGTCCTTGTAGGGGGAAGGGGTACGGGGGGGTTATCTTGGGTTATGACAAGTTTTTCCTGGGAGTGATGTAACCTCCGTTTAACACGTAGGCTTTCCCGACTAATATTCATAATAAAGCTTTTTGGTTTGATTGCGTAAGTATAAATGTGTTGTAACCCTCCACCACCCAACACAGCCTACTACGTCAGCCCGACGGTGTGTTGGAGAGTTAATGATTGTTGATTTACTCTCCAACACACCCGTGGGCTGAAGTAGTAACTAATTGCCGCGTTGTTTACGCGACAAACCTTACTGGCTGTGTCGGATGGTGGAGGGTTACGAGACATTTATACTTACATGGTTTAACCCAAAAATCTTGATTATGAATGATGTAACCTCACTTGTTTGTGCCCCCTTGTAATTGCCATGATGCAAGGTTGCCTCGTACAGCACATGAAGAGGCTAAGAAGGAATGGTGGCTGTTAGAGAGGTGCAGGTTGTATCATTGCGTTGAGTCATAAATTAACATTGTTTCTTATGATAATGAATACACGCATATGATTTTGCTTGTGAAAATCGATTATGTATTATTAATGCAAAACGATAAGCCAGTATTAGGTGTCAGTTTATCGAGCTAAAAAGGAAACTGTACAGATGAAACAGGACAAACACATATATAAGAAATACAAACGAGACAATGAAAAATAATTTCGATTTAAAGCTTTCGTGACTGCAGGGATTCATCTTCTTGGTTCTTTCGGTAAAGTCACGTAGAAGGGAAGTAATAAAATAATAAAAATAAAACATAATAAAATAATTCTCACGAAAATGAAAAACAAGACGGAGAAACAGATTTTTTTTAAATTAAGTTTCAGCCCCAAACTGTGAC